CCACCATGCGTCAGCACGCTACTCAGAATGCTGATGCTTTCGGGGCCGGGAGTTCTCATGATTGGCGGTTTGTTTTGGGCGTCCCTATAATTCAAAAACTTGAACCCAAGGATAGCTGAATCCTGAACTGTTGAGGGTTTAAGGTTTAGGGCTTCATTTTTGGAAACTTCCGCTTCCTGCCTCTTCTGGGCGCTGGGACTAGGGTTTGGGGCTTAAGGGCTGGGCCTTTCTTGAGTTTGAGATTTTTCCATTCGAGTCATTGTCTAAAGTCCTTAAAGGGGTCTTATACGCGGGATTCTATCGGGAGTATTATAGGGCTTATTAAGGGGGATACTAGGAGTTGAGACTATGGCTGATTTGGGTTAGGGTTCGGGGTTTACTGAAACCCAATAAGGAACATGGAGATGTCACTTTAAAGATATCCCAGCAAGGAACTAGTCCCTAAACCCGAAACCCTACGTCGCCATGAACTTCTGCCTGTGGAGAGGCAAAGGGGTTATGTAGGGGTTTAGGATTCAGGGACGGTCATGTAGGATCATGTAGGGCTATATAGGGGCATATAAGGGAAAGGCACAGAAGATGGAAACTACTATTGAGAGTTTGAGGCTTAGGGTTATAAAGCCCCGCGCCAGTATAGTACTATCATACAATGGGTTATAGCCTCAAGTGGGAGTTCGAGAAACTTCTGGTGGTGGGTTGTCAAAAGCCTAAAGCATGGTCTAGGGTTTAGAGTTGAATAAAGTTTACACTCCCCCAAACTAACATGGAAACCCGTATAGTACCCTTTTTTAAGGACTGTAGTCTTTATAGGGCCCTTTTTGGGTTTCCATGTTAGTTTTCGGGAGTGTAATATCTTGGCTACCTGGAATGGCCCTACTCGAGGCAAAGGACTGGGTCACCTTTCTCGTCTCTATCTGGGTTGTTCTCAAAATCAATAGCCCCCTTTGGTTAAAGATTCTATCACGCCACCTAATATTTTGGGGTGCCACAATAGGACCCTGATTTTGGGAAATACCCATCTGATCCTTATTGTCCTTTAGGGTTTAGGGTTCAGGGCCAGATTTCCAGCAGGTTCTGTTCCTCATAGTAGGCCATGCGAACAGAGGCTGCATGCCGCTGCATCACCAAGGCTCTGCGGGATTGAGATCTTGCAGGGCGACAGCACGCTTCTCAGACTTTTAGGTTCTTCAAGTGCGTTTTTTGTGGCTGGGGGTCATTGGTGTTCTTTGCGAGGCATAGCCACGTAGGCCTTTGCTGTCCAGTGGTACTCAAACTGCAGTGCGCGCAGAGTGCTCTTGAGTTCGTTAGATGATCATTTTTACTTCGCCCTAGGGTTTCAGGTTCAGGGAAACCCTAAACCCTAAACTAGATCCTAGACCCTCTCCAATCGCAAGTCCGTAGAAGCCAGAAGCCCATTGAGAAGTTGGCAAGTGTTTCTAAATGCCTCGAAGTCTTCCAGAAATGGACCTCAAGAGCATCTTACAAAAGCTAGTGTCCTTCGACAAGGAGCCTGTGTAGGATTTCCAAAAACATGGTAGTCCAGTCGTAGAATCTGAGCAGCCTCGCGATATATGAGGATTGTAAGGGGGATATAAGATCTTGACCCATAAAACCCCACACCTCCCAAACCCTGCTGAAAGGATTGTTTTCAGACCACACAGATCAGCAACTTTGCCCTGCCTTGGGGCTATGTCCTATAACACGAGGTTGGTGAAGCATTTTCTCCAGACTTACGCCCTTGAACCCTCAACCCTTAAACTCTCAACCCTAAACCC